TGTGTGTGTGTGTGTGTGTGTGTGTGTGTGTGGCCAGCTCAGCCCACCAGGGGGCGGGGCTGTCTGGCATGTGGTGCTGGGGGATTGAACCACAATCCCTGTGTTTTGCTTAGCTTAGCTTGTTCTAAGTAGGTGCTTTAGACCACTGAGCCATCTCACCAGCCCCGTAAGACCTTTTCTTAAAAGCAGGGCTAGGGACATAGCTCAGTGGCATAAATGCCTTCCTGGCAAGCACAGTCCTGAGTTCAATACCCCGTAAAAAAAAACAAAAAAAAAAACCACAAGGTGAAGCAAAACAAAACATAATTCTTGCTGTCCTGGTCTGCAAGAATAAAGCAGTGTTCAGCTGGACTTAAAGGGTGTCAAAAACACTGCTTGAGCATTCAGACTATTTGTATATGGGCCCATTCATGGATAAAATAACTGAGATCTACAGCCCAGCAAGGTCATGGTACAGATTGCTAGCAATGCCCAGCACGGAGAAGAGGCCTCTCAGGCTGGGGATGTAGTTCAGTGGGGGTAGCGCTAGACTGGGATACTTAAGGCCCGCAGAAAACGATATCTTCTGCAAACGAAGGAACCTCGTTCTTCACGTCTCATCCTCACCCATCCCCACTGCTCAGCATCAACGCTAACCGGATTTAGCAGTAGAGAATAAGCAAGACTAATAGATCCTTCAAAAGCGTCTCCGGGCTATCAGAAATTTCTCTCCCCTTTGTTCTGATCTAGGTCTGACTTGTGGTCCTGGATGGGAGCGTTCTGTTTTGTTTTTCAAGGGGGGAGGTGTGGGCACTGAACGAAAAGATTTATTTCACGTAGGCGATACCTGGGAGAAAGCGCTCAAACTTCTCAGCCGTAATCAAAATGGAGCTGGCCAGCCACGCCCCAGTGGCTAAACATTGGGTGAAGGAAACTCTCTTTTTCCAAAATGAAACAGGAGAGGGAGAGAAAATGTCCATCACACAATGGCCCCGCCCCCAAAGGCAGCTAACACCAATCGTTAGTGTGTAAGGCGGGGATCAAGCCAAGGGCGGAGCCTCCTGTTGCCCCAGCAACAACCGAGGGAACCCAAGAGGAGCGCGGTCTCGTACAAAGGTCCCGGGAGAAGCGTGAGCCAGGCCTGGTCGGCGCCGGTGGAGAGAAGGACAGGTCAGGCCCATGAGCTACAGTTCCCTTAGCTGCTTTCGTCTCTCTAACGGTTAAAAGCACTGAGGTAGAAATAACGCATGCGCTGCACTTAGAGGCGGCGCTAAACCGGCCCAGCGTTCTAGACGCTGACTGCTCCTGGAGCTTGGGAGCCCGGCTGACGCGAGGGGGCGGGACCTTGCGTTGTGGGTGGAGCCATAGTGCCCTGGGGCGGGGCTTTCCCCGATTGCTGGGTAGATTTATTTTTAGGCGGGGCACAGTTGGGCGCCAGCTCCCTAGCCCAGGGTTCCCTCCCCCATTTCTCCCTGCTTTCCTGGAAGGCAGTTAGGCACTGTGGTTAAGACCGCAGCGTCAGTGGGCTGACGAAAGTAGCTTGGAATCCTAGTACTGCATTTTACACGATGGGCCTCAGTTTCCCCATCTTTCAGATGCAAGTAATAATACCCATACCTCCTAGAGCTGAGATTATATTTTTCCCCTCCCAGGGCCATGGCTGAGGTGCACGTGATCGGGCAGATCATAGGGGCCACCGGTTTCTCTGAAAGTAGCCTCTTCTGCAAGTGGGGCATCCACACAGGTATTCCCCAGGCCTGGTTCATCTCCAGGGCAAGACACCAGCGGCCCTAGCCTAGGGCTCCACACCCCTTCCCTGAATTCCTGACTCTGTCCCTGATCCTCATTTTCCATTGGCTGTCAGGACTTCTCCCGCCCAGACCACAGATCTCTGTCTCTCTTCTTATCTTTTTTCCATCCGGCCTCTGGCGGCTCTGGCTGCTACCCCCCACAGGGACAGCTCCTAGGGATAGGGGACGGTAAGCTAGTCCTCTCCATACCCTATACTTCCAGTCCTCAAAACAATAGCCTTACCTGTACTGTTAGACTTATACCCATAGTCCTAGACAGTGCCTCCTAGGGCCCTCCCCTATCTCAATTCTTTGATTAGTAGTCTCTTGTTTGGCTAGGGAGATAGCTCAGCGGCCTAAGCGCCTGCCTGGCAAGTGCAAGGTCCTGAGTTTGATTCCCTGGTACAAAAGAAAAAAAAAAGCCGGGGAGATGGCTCAGTGGAATAAGCGCTTCCCTGGCAAGCGTAAGGGCCTGAGTTCAATCCCCGGTTCCGCCAAAAGAAAAAAAAAAAAAATTAGTCTCTGTTCACTACAGAGAACAAAGCTTCTAGCCCAGGTTTGTGGAAGAGAAGACTGATATTTATAATTCTCTGTGTACTCCATTGTAGCAGTCACCCAAGTCTGTCTACACCGCCGAGGAGAGACCTTGGAAGTCCCATTTCCCAAGCCTCCACTTCTGAGGCTTCACAGTGTAATAAGTAAGGGCTCTAAGCTGCCAGGTCTGGGTTCAAATACTAACTTCCCCACCTGTTAATTGGGAGACTTTGAACTTGACCTCCCAGAATTTCAGTTTCCTTGTCAGAAGATCATAGCAGCTAAAAGGTGATGCAGGATTGAGGTTAAGACCACAGATTTCCTATGTTGAAAATCAGTGTTGTTTCCTATTATGTGACCTGGGACAGTTCTGTTGGCCTTGATTTCCCTGTCTACAGTGGGAATAATAATACCTTGTGGGGTTTTTTGTTTGTTTGTTTGGTGGAACTGGGGACTGAACTCAGGCCCTTGAGCTTGCCAGGGAAGAGCTTATTCTACTGAGCCATCTCCCCGGCCCCAGTGTGTTTGTCATGAAGACTAAATGACTATCAGCAGCATTAGACTAGGGGCTGGACTAGAGAATCCTCAGTATTTGTCTGGTTCACAGAAGGCTTGGATGGGGTCTTGTCTATAAGGCCCTGTGTGTGTTGTTGCCTGTCACAGATAAATGTCCAGGAGACAGATATGGTTATTGTCATTGTCATCCTTTTAGGCCTGGGCCCTTTCTGATTTTACTGGAAAGTGACATAGCAGTTGATTTCCCTGGGAGACCAAGATCCTCCAACTGAGTGGATAAAAGGCATGCTCTGGAGTCTGACTCAGGGGCTGTGTGACCCTGGGGGATGCTGTCCCCTCCGAGTTCAGAGTGGAAGAGAGGCGTAGGGGGAAGCAGATAAAGAAACAAGCACAATGATTACAGATTATTGGAAGGATAAGGAGAAAATAAATGAGACTTATGAGAAGGACGAGTGTTAGAATAGGAGGGTAAAGGGGCCGGGGAGATGGCTCAGTGGACTAAGTGCTTCCCTGGCAAGCACAAGAGCCTGGGTTCAATCCCCAGTTCCACCAAAAAAAAAAAAAAAAAGAAGAATAAGAGGGTCACAGAGACCCCTTCTATGAAGTGGCACTCGATCTGAGTCCGAAGGATTAAAAAAAATTGCAGGACTACCAGTGCAAAGGCCCTGAGGTACTAGAACATGAATGGGACCAGTAAAGCTTCTGGGTAGTGAAGGAGGGGAGGAATGATGGGAGATGCGCTCAGGGAGGTAGGCACAAGCCAGGGTATGCAGGGCCTTGAGGCCATATGGGGGGGCCTGTAAACTGGGGAGTGCTATGGGGATTAAGAGTCCTGGGGGCAGATTTAATGAAGGTACTGATTGAAGTGCTTAGCATAGCATTTGTCATTCAGTAAGCACTGTGTCCCTTATTTTATAACCCTCTCCCCCTCTTTTTTTCTTTTTGACACAGGGTCTCCCTATGCAGAATAGGCTGGCCTTGAGCTCACTTTGTAGCCCAGGCTGGTCTGGAACTCACAGTGATCCCTCTTGTCTCAGCCTCCTGAGTGCTGGGATTACAGGCATGTGCCACCATGCCAGGTTTATAACCCATTAGTAGGGTCACTATTAAGATCTATTTTTGCTGGGCATGGTGCTCCCAACACTTGGGAGGCTGAGGCAGGAGGATCGCCCATGAGTTCTAGGCCAGTCTAGGCTTACTCAGCAAGAACCTGTCTTAAAAAAAAAAAAAAAAAAAAGAAGAAGAAGACCTGTTTTCATGATGTGCTTCTGGAGGGTAACCTTGGCCTCATCTGAGTCCCTGCACAGGCCTTTAAATATGGGCTGAGAATAATAAGAAAATGTTCCTGGAACTTGGGTAGAGAATGTGTGGGCAAACACAGGGCCCTGGGTTCCATCCCTAGCACCAAAACAAATAAAAATAACCAGTGACAATCAAGAAGACTTAAAAAAAAAAAAAAAGAAAAGAAAAAAAGAAGACTTATCCTATAAACAGTATGGATCTACTCAGAATTATCAAATATGTTATGTTGAGGCAGAGAAAAGTAACTTGCCCGAGGTGACACAGGCAGAGAGAGAGAGAGAGAGAGAGAGAGAGAGAGAGAGAGAGCCAGGATTTGAACCCAGACACTTGGCTGTTGAGCTCACCCTTTGTAACTTTCACTGCCATCTTGAAATGCTGGGGAGGAACAGGCCTAGAGTCCATGATGCCTTTAGTCCCCTTCCTAAAGGCAGCCTCCCAACCCACCCTGACTCTGTCCTCATTACAGGGGCAGCATGGAAGCTCCTGTCGGGCATGCGGGAGGGCCAGACACAGGTGGACACTCCCCAGGTAGGGGACATGGCCTACTGGTGCCACCCCATTGACCTGCACTTCGCCACCAAGGGTCTCCAAGGTGGGTACCAGGCCTGCCCTAGGGGCTAGGCTAAGAAGATGGGGTACAGCAGCATGCAAAGCAGCAGGGGCTGGAAACACCCCTTTGTGTCCTGTTCCCCATACCTTGTGGGTCCCTTCTAGCCACGCATGCCTTAGAGAGGATGAGCTGAGTGAGGCCTGTGCCACAGGAAGGAGATGGACCAGGGCCCAGGGGTAGGTCAGGGTCAGGATGGGGGTAGGGGAAGTGGCCTGCAAGTACAGGGACAACCAGGGTCTGTGCTAAAGAGGAAGCTGGGAGAGGGTGTATGAAGGTCAAGAAGGGGTGGTAGGGCAGGAGGGAGCGGACGAGGGCTGGTTGCTGCGCCTTATGAAGGGCTCCTCAGCTGGAGAGCTGAGTGCCCAAAAGGGAAGTGAGTATTTGGGGGAGGCCGGGTATCAGTTCTAGTAGAAAATGCAACAGATTCCAGGAAATAGCCTGGGTAGAGGCGCTGTGTATCCCAGCTGCCCCTTGTTCCCCCTCTCTTCAGGGGCTCTGTTCTATAGGGGAGACAGACCTATCTCCAGACAGGGCCAGCCCAGAGTGGACAGGTCTGGCGGGGGTAACGGTTGTGGTGCCTATGGGAGCCCAGAAGCAGTGTCTAAGCCTGTCCAGAGGTTGGGAGGGCCTTCTGGGGAGAAGCAGTGAGCTTGGCGCAAGGGGCCAGGAGGAGTGGGAGTGCGGAGGGGGATGGAGGGGAATTGTTGCAGGCGGGGTTCTTTGTGTGTGGAAGGCTCACAGAGGAAAGTGAGCCCAGACATTTAGGGGGCGACAAGAGAGCAGAGGATGGAGGGGGGCAGGCTGTGTGTGCCTTACTGCCATCCCCAAGGCCCTGGGAGCTGCAGCAGGCAGTGGCTCAGTCAGGTTTCACTTCTCAAAGCTCTTTCTGGCTGCCACGTGTGATGGTGGGTTGGTGAGGCAGAGAATTCTGTCCTCACTGCCTGTCAGGACCCCCCAGCCACCCAGTGCTGGTACCATCCCTGCCTCCTTGTTTCTCAGCCCCCATTCTGTATCCATGAGGAAATCCCAGCACCTTTCCCTGAGAGCAAAATATTTTTTTTTTTTACTGGTAATTGAACTCAGGACCTTGTGCTTGCTAGGCAGGCGCTATGCTACTGAGCTATATCCCTGGCTGGCCCTTGGGGTTTTTTTGTCAGCTGGCATGGCATGTGGTACCAGGGCTTGAACTGTGGTCTCCTGTGCCTGCCTGAGCTTGTCTAAGCTGGTGCTTTAAACCACTGAGCTATCTTGTTGGCCCCTGGGTTTGTTTTTGAGACAGGATCTCATTGTGTAGCTCTGGGTGGCCTTGAGCTCACTTTGTAGCCCAGGCTGGTCTGGAACTCACAATGATCCTCCTGCCTCAGCCTCCAAGTGCTGGGATTACAGGTATGCACCGCCACACCTGGTGCTCTCCCTGTGAAATTTACCCTAACTTCTGCTCAACATCTGATCTGTCCCTCTTCTCTCTTTCCTGGATTATTCAGTAGCATAATGACTTTGTGCCCAGCCCCAGTTCCTGGTACCTGTGCCCCATAGACAGCCAGCAGGACTTTGGGGGCACCCAAGTTAGGACACATCTTCCCTCTGCTCAGAACCTTTCAGTGATTCCTGTCTTATTCAGGGTAAAAAACAGAATCTTACCAAGTATATGGTTGTCATTTTGTTTTTTGAGACAAGAGTCTCACTATGTAGTCCAGGCTGGCCTCAAACTGGCAGCCATCTTCTACTCAAGTGCTAGTATTATAGGCCTGTGCCACCACACCCAGCCTAGTTGTCACTGCTGTTCCTTCTCTTCCTCTGAGCCAGCCACGCTGGCCCCACCAGGCTCATGCCCACCTTAGGCCCTTTGCACTTGGGGCTTGGATTTCTCATTCCCTAAATGCCCACACATCCCACTCCCTTCCCTCCTTTAAGTATCTGTTTAAAAGTCACCATCTTAAACTCAAGCATATTAAAAAGAAAAAAAGTCACCTTCTTAGTGAAACTTTGTCTATCCCCTCCTTTCCCAAACCACACCCCCACCCCCACCCTACCCAGCTTTATTTTTCTCCAGAGCAGTTATCACCATCTGACATACCCTGTAATTTGTCTATTTACTATGTTCGTTGTCTAGGATGTCAGCCTCACAGGGCAGGAATTTTTGTCTGCTGTGTTCACCACTGTGTCCCTAGGTCCTAGCACAGGGCCTAGCACAAAGGAGGGGCTCAGAACAGAGGTTGAACTGATCCACATTCTGAGGACATGGGCAAACCAACGGAAGGGGAAAAAAGAGGTTTTTGAGCCAGGTATGGTGCCACACATCTGTAATCCCAGGACTCTGGAAGGCTGAGTCAAGAGGATCGAAAGTTTGAGCCTAGCCTGAGCAACCCATGAGACCCTGTTTCAAAATAAAAAACAGATGGGGCTGGCGAGATAGCTTAGTGGACTAAAGCGCCTGCTTAGGCAAGCTTAGGGAAGGGCAGGGACTGCAGTTCTATCCCCAGCACCATACATTGTGCCAGCCCCACCCCTAGGGTGGGCTCAGCCAGCCAGAGTCCAGGTGTGATGGCGCAAGCCTGTAATCCCAGCGATGGGGAGGCTTAAAGCAGGAGGGCACCACCAGTCCGAGCTGCGTAGTAAGATCCTGCAACAACCAAATGCATTAAAAAAAACAATAATAATTACAAAATAGAAAGGACCAGGGCTGGTGAGATAGTTCAGTAGAGTAAGTGCTTGCCTGGCAAGTTCAAGGTCCTGAGTTCAATCCTCAGTACCGCAAAAAAAAAAAAAAAAAAAAACGACCAGGGATGTAGCTCCATGTGCCAGCCCTGCTGAGTTCTATACTCAGTACTGGGAGCAGGTGGAGGTAGATGGGACAGGAGAAGAAAGAAGGCCCTCCCAAAGTCCTAGAAGGACAAGGCAGGGCTGTGAGGAAGGGTAGAAGATATACAGGATAAGCCCAAGGTGCTGATCTGGAGACCAGAGGAACGGCAGGCTTCTCTGGCAGGCACTCCGACAAGCAGACCACAGTAGGAAGCCAGCAGAAGCCGCATGCAGGGCCTTGATTATTGAGGAGGGCACTGGGGCCCCTTGGATGGCCTCTGAGCAGGGGAGGATGAGGGATGTAGACACATTCCCCATGCTGCTGTGTGGGATGGAACAGGATGGGCACCCAGAGGAGGTTGGGCAGGAACCCCAGGGACAGGGACCGGACCTGGGTCTCCACTAGGGACCAGGGGGGTGGGGACCCAGGAGCAGGAGCTGGGCCCCACCATTCCTCCTTTGTTCTGCATCCCATCCTGCAGGTTGGCCTCGGCTTCATCTCCAGGTGTGGTCCCAGGATAGCTTCGGCCGATGCCAGCTCGCCGGCTATGGCTTTTGCCATGTGCCCAGCAGCCCCGGCACCCACCAGCTGGACTGCCCCACATGGCGGCCTCTGGGCAGCTGGCGGGAGCAGCTGGCCAGGGCCTTTGTTGGTGGTGGGCCACAGCTGCTACAGGCAGACACCATCTACAGCGGGGCGGACCGCTACCGCCTGCACACTGCCGCAGGTGGCACCGTGCGCCTTGAGCTCAGCCTGCTGCTGCGTCACTTTGATCGCTATGGTGTTGAGTGCTGAGGGATCCGACCTCCGTTGGCCATCACCCACAGCCCTGGCCGAGCACTGAGGGCAGGATGGCACAGCAGTCAGGATCTTGGGCCCTGGAGACAGTCAGACCCAATCCCAGGCTGGCAGGGCCCTGTGTTGGTCCTTGCAAGGATCTCAAGCCCAGTAATGCCCCTGGAGCCCATGTGTCACGTGGGGTAGTAAGTGTGGATCACAGGGGAGGGGAGGGAAATGCTGGTTAGCACATGGGAGGTGCTTAATAAAAGCGAGTGATTCTTAACGTGTGTGGCAACTTCCTGACCCCTTCATCTGTAGATGACCTCTTCGCCCTCCACACTCACACTATGCCTGCTCAGGCCCCATCTTCTGTCGTCCCTCTACCCCAGTCCCTCATTCTCTTCCCGTTTTGGGTGCCCTTCCTTTGAGACTCCTCTCCCGTGTCCCCATTCTCAGATGTTGCCCTCCCTGCCAGATCTTCATTTTCACGGTGACCCCCACACCCAAAGCCCCAAACCATCTCTGTAACCCGCTTTGGTAACTCTCAGCCGCCAGGAGGCAGCACCCTGTCCGTGGGGCGGAGCCGGGGTGCCCGCCCCCTCCCTGCTGGGCTGAGGGACCCCCCTTGGAGCCCGCCCACGCGAGATGAGGACCGTGGCCCCCCCATGCCCTCTCCTGGGGCTGCTCCCGCCCCGCTCGCGCTTCCTGGGTGGGGCCGGGCGGCTTCAAAACCCCCGCGCGCCGCCCAGCCGGTCCCCGCCGCCGCCCTTCGCGCCCCTGGCCGTCCCCCTCCCTCCTCCCGCCGCGGATCCACCAGACCGCGAGGCCCCGGCCGGGGCAGGGGGACGCCCCCTCCGGGGCACCCCCGGCTCTGAGCAGCCCGCGGGGCCGTCCTCCTCCCGGAGCGGAGGAGGGAGCCTCGAGGCCGCCCGAGGCCCCAGAGTCTGAGACTTGCCGCCGCCGCCGCCGCCGCCGCTGCGGGGAGGAGGGGAGGAGGAGCGGGAGGAGGGACGAACTGGTTGGGAGAAGAGGAAAAAAGTTTTGAGACTTTTCCGCTGCCGCTGAGAGCCGGAGACGCGGGGACCGCTTGGCGCGGCGCTGGTCGGCGAGGAGGCAGGACCTGCGGACTCCAGACCGCCCCCCTCACCGCCTCTGACGCAGGCCACCCCCGACACAGCGCTCCCCTGGCGTCCCCATTTCGGACCAGCGCTCAGGAGCAGCAAACCCCGCCTCCCGCGAAGACTTCACCCTAGACCCGGGGCGCACCCCCCTGCACGCCACCCTCGCTCCCTTCCCCAGAGCCCCCGCGCAACCTAGGACCCTCTCTCATCCGGGCGACGGATCTCTCCCAGACCTGCCACAGCTCCCTTACTCAAGACCACCCACCTTCTGGTACCAGATCTCGCCCACCTCGGCTTTTTCCGTGGGCTACTGAATTACGCGGTGACCGAGCCTCGCAAAGATCCCTGCTTCGTTCTCCCCGAAGAACTCAATTTCCCCCGAGACCCTCCTACTTTTCCCCGGGAGACCCCCAGCCCCAGCAGGGGCGGGGCCTCCCCATCCTACCTCTGCCCGGGTCGCGCTCTCGGCGGTGCCGGGGGTCGCCACCTCCCCCATGCCGCCCTCTCGGCTGCGGCTCCTGCCGCTTCTGCTACCGCTACTGTGGCTACTGGTGCTGACGCCCGGCCGGCCAGCCTCGGGACTGTCCACCTGCAAGACCATCGATATGGAGCTGGTGAAGCGGAAGCGCATCGAGGCCATCCGCGGTCAGATCCTGTCCAAATTACGGCTCGCCAGTCCCCCGAGCCAGGGGGAGGTACCGCCCGGCCCGCTGCCCGAGGCCGTGCTCGCCCTTTACAACAGCACCCGAGACCGGGTGGCCGGGGAGAGCGCCGAACCAGAGCCCGAACCCGAGCCGGACTACTATGCCAAGGAGGTCACCCGCGTGCTAATGGTGGAGAACAATCACAGTGAGCTCCGAGGGGCCTGGGAGCCGGGAGGGGGCCCCCAGGGGGCGCCGGAGTGCAGGGGTCACGGGAAGGAAATTATGGGCCGCGCCGAGGAAACCGGCTGGAGGAAGGGGACCCCCGGGGGCTCCGAGAACGTATGTTGGAGGGCTGCTGGCCCAAGGAGGATGGCGATGAATCCACTCCCCAGCCCCCCGCTGTCTGATTTTAGGAGAATTAGCGAGTGAGGTGGACTATTGCCTACTGCGAAAAGGCAACAGGGTCTTGCGGGGTCGTGGGGAGTGTCCTCTCGAAGGACAGAAGCAATGTGGGAGGGCGCGTAGCAAGAGGCTCCCACCTTCAGGCCGCGCTAGAACGCAGGTATCGCTTTTCCAGAGAGGGCAGCTGGTTTGGGAAAAACGAAGACCCCAGCGTTTGGGAAAGGAGAGGCAATAGGAAAACTGACCCAGAGCTCGGGAGTCCTGAGGGGGATTCTAACCTTGAAAAACTAGGTGAAGCGAACCCTATAAGTGCAGGGCACTCACTTCCAGAGAGCGCCGGGGCCACGCGGGAGGGGGGCTTCGTGGAGACGGTGACTGTGGCTATGGTGTGCTAAATGCCGGGGGAGAGGGAAGCCAGGTCCTCGGGAGCAGGAAGGTAGCGGGAGAGGAGCGGAGACTGGGCGAAGAGGGTATTGGTGAACCAGGATGCCCCGGAGATGGCATGGGGGCTAGACAGCGCGGAGCTCTGCGGAGGAAGCGAGCCCTCAGGAAATCTAGAATACTGGGTCAGGGGATGGGAGTTTCCGAAAGGAGAGACAGGCGTGGGAAAGGTAGACCCGCGACAGAGCGACAGACACACGCTGCACCGCAGCACGGGGCGGGAGAGTTGAGTAATCGTGCCCTGGGCCGGGGGCGACGCTGCCAGACGGAGGTGAGAAAACTAAGCCAGTAGGGGTGAGAAAGGCCCACGTGGGTGCCATGCGCCGGGGGTAGGGGTGCGCCGGCTGCGCTTCCAGAAGGGTCAGGAGGACGGGGTAGAGCTGAGCGCTAGCAGTCTGGACCTTGAAGTCCCAGTTCCTCTTGGGGAAGCTGGGGAAACCCCAGCGTCCGGCGGGCCGCGCCCTCCTCCCTTCCCTTTCCTTCTCTTGCCCCGGGGGGGCGGGGACCGCGCGGGGCCTGGGGCGAGACAAGGCAGGTCTGGTCCCCGCCCTCGCGGCAGCGTCCTCCCGCCCTTCTCACCCCAGCAACGGGCGGGGCTCCTCCTGGGTCCGCCCGGTCTGCGCCCACGCGAGGGCCCAGGCGGGACGCGGGCGTCCTGCGGGGCCTGCAGCTTCGGGCGATGGTACCTAGTTTTCAGTTTCTCCCTTGGGCTGTGGGCTTTCGGCTTCGCCCATTCAAGCTCCCTGTTTTGTAGCCAAACCCTCCTCCCCACCCACCCCCTTTTCAGTGTGGCCTTTCTGTACAGGGAGAAGACTTTTTTCTCTCCAGAGACTTTTATTTCTCCTCCAAGCCCTCACGTGTTTCATCCTCCATGTGCCTCATCTCCCGTCTTCTCTTTCTCTCACCTTTTCTTCTTCTGCATCTCCCACCTTTCTGTGTATAAATCACCTAGTGTTTGTCTGTCCCTTCTCTTCTCCTTTTTTCGTCTCCACACCCCCTTCTCTGGGCTCTGTCCTTTCTCCTCCCTAGCTGCTATTCCTCTGTCAGAGGCTCTGCCTTTCCTTTGGCGTTTACCGTGCAAGGAATGGACTGAGAACGGGGCTGGGGTTGCGGGGAGGCGGGGGCTGTGGACCACAGCAAGGGGCTTCCTTTTTCCTGTATCCTCTTCTCTGCTCCGACTTGTGCCCCATCCCGTAGGAAACCCAGAGGATTGCTTCAGGTGATCGAGGAGTTCACAACCTGCCCTTTATTCCCAGCTGTAAACTTCGCCTAGACTACAGGACACTCTTCCTCACCCCACTGCCCCCGCAGTCATTCTGACCTCGGACCGACTTAACTTTCTCTAACTGACTTGGGAAAGGGAGTTAAGGGAGGAAGCAATTAATAATGATCATCATAATAATATCACATTGGCAAGAAGGTAGCATAGTTTAGTTGTTAAGAGCAGTGTCTGGAATGAGACTGCTTCATCTCGCTCTGCCACTTCTAGCTATTTGACGTTGGGACAAATTAATTTCTCCATCTACTAGTGTCCTCTTCCTGACTTTGTGAGATTTCAGTGTCTTCATTTTTGAAAAGTGTTTTGAACAGTATCTGGCAAGTGACACACTTTTAACAGAGAAGCTGTGAGTGACTGGCATGTTCCGGACTGTATCACATGCCTTGTGCGAACGCGACTCTCTCCCGTTTGCTCCTGTAATCAGGCATTGGGAAGTATCTTACAGCTGATCTATGACTCAGACAGAGGAATTCACTTGCTACAGATCACCAGTGTTTCAGTTTGGAAAGCCTGCGTTGGATCAGGCAGCTTGATGTTATTGCTGTTTTTCAAAGAATAACAGGAAACTGAGGTACAGAGAAGGGGTGTGAACTGCCCCAGGTCATGCAGCTGAGATGCAGCAAGAAGCCATTGACCCTTACTCTGCAACTTAATTTGCATTTCAGGCTGCAAGTCTTAAACCCTAGGGAAGCCTGAGCAAACACAGAAGCTCCCCTTAGGGGCACTTGCTTGCAGATGTACACTTGTTCAAAGGTACTTTAGGGGAAAGAGAGTAGCGTGACTGGTCAAATGGAGGAGGAAGCAAACCTAGAGGAGTCTCAGAGCTAAACAAATCAGAGGGGAGCTCACCTAGACTTGGGATAGGCCTGTTCCCTAGACCCTTGCCAACCTGCTGGTACCCTCTCTTTCTGCTCTTCCCAACTAGACATCTATAAGAGCATGGACACTGTTGCACACAGTGTATATATGTTCTTCAACACGTCAGAGCTTCGGGAAGCTGTGCCTGATCCTCTGTTGCTGTCCCGGGCAGAGCTGCGTATGCAGAGACTCAAGTTAAGTGTGGAGCAACACGTGGAACTGTACCAAGTAAGGCCATGAGGCTGAGTGGTGGGATGCAGGCCACAAGGGCTGAGCTATGGCCAGGTGGGCTGGTTGGAAGGTTGCTGGCTACAAGGTTTATGTTACTAGTCTCTGAAGCACTGAGGAGCAAGAGCTGTAGAAGCCTAAGGGTCTTTAAAATGTTCAGACTCTTGAGGGAGATCTTAGAAGATGGACTCTTTTAAGACTGTAAGACAGTTTGGGGATATAGCCTAGTGGTAGATCACTTAGATTACTTACCTAGCATGTGTGGGTCCTTGGGTTCCTTCCCCCATACCAGAGACACA